ACTGAAGTCTCCAGTCTCTAAGTAAGGTTGATGGAAGTTTAAGCTTCCAACTTCAAGACTTTCAGTTGGTGCTTCTGGCCAGCCTTGTCTTTATATCACATTTCCATTTTCTTAAAAGGAATCTACACAAGAATGCCCCTGGCATGGCTAATAATGTAAAGATTAAAATATGAATATATGCTGTCTTCGTACAACAGTCAAATGGTGTGGTAACTATACAAATATATAATGACTAACTTTCTGAGTCTTTGTTACTCTGTAACAATCTGAGATAAACCTAAATCTTAAGAAATTGCAACGAAATTTTTATCAGCTATTGAAATATTCCTTTTGGTAGCTGATGTGTTTATGAATTTCTGTTTGAAATCAGTAAGGAATAATGTGAGGCTCTTAACACTTGAAGTTTATTAGATTTTTTGAGAGTGAACATCAGTGCTTGGTACCAGACCTACCTTTTTTTCTCCAAAGTCTTCAACTTTGGAATTTTTCTCCACGAGGGGGAGCCGTGCTCCCAGCTCATTGCTCTGTTAGCCTGGAAAGTCTGTCAGAGGCTTGTTCCTGTTCTTGCACCCTTGGTTTTCTCTGACCACCTATGATTTTAAGTTTAAAACCGTCTCAGATAATCACTTCTGAGTGTGGTGGTAGATGGATATAAGTAGTAGGATAAATACAAGTAGAATTTAGTTTAGATTGGGCAAATAATGGGCTCTGCCATTTTTTTAATGAGAATTATTATTAAGTTTCCCGTAGCATAGTCCTTCTGTGTGCACTGATTTCAGCAGTTACTATTCAGTGACAGTATATTTATAGTGAATAGACAGGTGCACAGATCTTTCAGGTGAGATTTCTTATTCAGAATTTTTGAAGTGTCTAGAGGACTTTGTCATTGGTAGCAGTCAGACAGCTAAAACCTAAAAATGAGACTATTTGGAAATAGCAGTCTTTGTGCGTGCCACAGCACAGTGTGTTCCACTGTAAAGAACTGATCAATGAAGAAAGCTTATTAATTTATTAGAAGTCGTACTGGCTATAGAGATTGTAGCAAATAACTTACAAAAATATTTGTAATATTTTACCCAATTTGAAAGAACTAAAACTTACTAAACCTCAGACTTAAAATAAGTATTACAAATATACAGTATGCCATTTTGATTCTTTTTTTTTTTTTCCCTACCCTTGAGTGAATGATGTTTGTGTTTTAATTCCAGGTGCAGTTTTCCTGGTTATTTTTTGCAGGGGCAGTTCCTGTATTTTTTTCTTTTTTCATTGCAACTCTATTATGTCACTATAACAACTGGGATCCAGTGATGGTGGGAATCAGAAGAATTTTTGCCTTTATTTGTAGAAAACATCGAATTCAGAGGTAGGGCAGTCACAAAGTATAATCTTTACTCTCTTCAGCCTTTCCAATATCCTATACTTTTTTATAAGCCACAATACTAATACTATATGTATTTTCATTTAATTTTATATTCAGGTGTACTAATTTCTTAATAGTAGTAGTTGCTAATTCATTTATTAACCTATGTAATGTTCATAAAATGGAAAGATGTGAAGTCTGTTTCCCTTTTAAAAGAAGTTTCCTAGTGGCTGTCAGTTTTCTTTGGTGTTTTTTTTTTTTTTTCCCTTTATGCCTCTATGATAGTTGCTGTACCCAGAACATGTAGTGAAAATTGTGCAAAGGAGTGTACTTTATGAAGTGTACTTTATAAAGGGTTCTGAAGTTCAAATAACTAGCATACTTAGTACTTGTATTGGCTTCATAACAAGCAATTCAGTATTACTGTAGAACTTTAAATAGATTAATTTGTTTCTTTTTAGAATGCCAGAAGAAAGTGAGCAGTGTGAAAGTCTCATTCCTATGCATAGTGTTTCACAAGATGGAGAGAGTTGCTGTTCATAGACAAAAGGTATGCTTAGTAAACTTCAAACAATACAGAGAAAGGAGATCAGTGGTTTTCATGATGACATTTGTGTTATATAAGCATACTTTCTTACAGACCATACAGTTAATCTTATTCCGTATTGATGGATAGAGTTTTGAAAGGTATCTTCAAAGTTACTGTTACCAAGCATTATTCTTACCTTGATACAATTCTTGGTCAATGGTTTTGAAATGTCAACTAGTTTTTTACTTGAGTATTACACCATTCATCAAAAATTGGACATGAGTCAGTAAACTAGAAGAAGCATACAGCTTCTTGGTGTGTATGATACTGTGAAAGAGATCTGAAGTAATTATTTCGCTCTCTTTAATGCTGTTGAGGTCTCAGTTTGGTCTACTGCAGTTCATGAAGAACATTGACTGTGTACGGAAGTTCAGAGAACATGACCAGACTTTTATCATTATGGATGCAGAAAATAGGAAGGAGTCCTTGTGTCTGTGGTTGACAAGGATTAAGTTGTTAAATTGTATTAAATATTAGGGAAAATATTTCTTATGATAAGGATAGGGAAACTAGAGTAGAATAGCTAGGGAGTTTGAAAAATATCCCTCCCTAAGATGAGGTTACACAAATGACTAGCAGGAACATTACATGGTTTGTTGCTACTGTCTTGGAGCAAAAAGATAGACATAGGTTAGGACTTTCTTAGCCCTACGCTTCAGGGCTTTATTTTTTAAATAATGTATGCAAAATTGCATAAATTACATGCATGATGAGAAGTATATTTGTATTTTTTAATGTTGCCTAAATCTAATAATGAAATTAAAAATATTATAACCAAAACAGTAATTGTGCAGTCTTAAGCTTAAGACACACAAGTTATTTCCTTTATTAATAAGATGGAAACAAATACATAAGGTGATTCCTTTTTTGTAATCTTTAATTATGTTGTAGCCCTGATAATTATTTTTATTCCTTCTTAGTTTCAAAATGGAATAATGCCCAGCGAAGAGACAATCTTCTGGAAGAGTCCCTAAGGAATCATGTTTCAGTGCCTATTCTGAATTTGTAGTAAAACTAAGAAGTTTCAGTTCTTTTGAAACTAAACTTTTCCTCTTTCTTGCTTTCATCTGGTTTTATAAATGAACAAATTTACTACATGCCTATCACCATAGGGAGTCTTAGTCCATCTGAGCAACCAACCTGCCTTATAACACTGAGCTGGTGAAGTTACTTGACAAAAATCAAGAAAACAAATGCTGTTAAGTGATTTCGTTCTTTTTTTAACTCACAATTTTGTTAAATGCTGGACAATATTATTTTTAAAAAATACTTTCAAATGAGTTATGTAAATAAGTTTGCAGGTCATCAAGTCTTACAGGCTTTCAGATGAAAAGCTAAATAGGTATGTTACCTGTAATAGGTACAAATTAACTTTTTAATGTTGTATAAACTATTTGCATATTAATAGAAGAAAATAGAATGATAATTTATTAAGTGCATTCTTGTAATTATTGAGGCAGGATCTTTGTATGGTCCTAGAACACTACATATATATTGTCTTGCCATTTTGAGAAGACTTGTAATGGCAAGGGGTGCCAGTGTTTAAAAATCTTCTGTTACCTAACAATCTGGAATGTTTAAAATTTTAGTAAACGGTAAAATATTTCTAATTACAGTACATTTGTGTGTACATGCTCAAAATCAGTGTTTTAAACCAGACTGATTCTGTAACCCATTCTTATTCCCACTTATCTCACATGGAAAGCTAAATTTTAAAATCTTCACATGCATAGCTGCCAAGTTATGAAAGAGATCAAATTAATTGTGAGAGTTCTCAGTCAATGGGTTGGCAGTATAGTAGTCTGCTAAACAATCTGAAAGGTAAGGGTGTTTGCATTTAATTTTTTTTCCCAGTTGCATTAATAAATTTATTCTAAAATTGAACATTTTCCATATAACCTGTATCTTCCTTCCACTGCAGAGCTTCTGTCCTATATGTTTCTGAAAAATGATGAATAGCTGTATTCAGGAATATTTTAAATTAGTCAGTGCCATTTTCCAACTTCTGGCCTGTAAGACACTTGTATTAAAGTTAATTTTAACTTTTAATGGATTTTATTTTTTTATAATGAATGTAGGATGGATTTTCAGCCAACAGTATTGTCTTCCACATAACAAGATTATTATTAATAATAATAATTATCCTTGCACACACAGAGAAGAATGCATGCCACAAATGCCTTTTCATGTTTTGACACTTGGTAGTGATCCTTCCAAAAGAAATTTTGGTGTTTTGGTGATAAAACTACTAGATAAGAGGGAATGCAGGAAAGCAATGTGCTTAGCTATACATTTAGAAGGATTAGCCAGCAGCTAGGATTTAGTGTAAAAAACTGTAATTAGAGAAGAAAAAAATAAAAAAAAGAACCTGGGGCTCTTGTGGTCAAATATTGCACCTTTATCAAAATTTTCCTTCCAGTTTTTAATACTGGATTACACTACAAGTTTCAGTAATCTGAAGTGTCTGTTTAAGATGAGATAGAAAGTTCTTCTTTGGACACCTGAAAGAGGAATTTAAAACAAAACAAACAACAAAACAACAAACCAAAAACAAACAAAAAGTTTATTAAATTTATGTCGGAATTTTGAGAAACTTCACATTCCAATTCCTAAACCCCACAAGTAGAGGGGTTGAAAAATGGAGTATATAGAACTAATTTTACATTTGACTTTGTAGAATTTTTGGGGATTTTTTGGGAAGTGGAGTTTTCATAGTTGTTGGGTGGTGTTGTTTTGTTTAGTTTTTTAAGTTTTCCCCCTCCCCCTGGCCCTTCTAAATTATGACAAATTAGAGGATGTTAGCTTCAACCTTTTTTCCTAGAAGTAATATTAAGGCTTGCTGGCAATAAAAAGCTAATGTCTGTTTTCAATTAATGAAATGTTTCAATAAGATCATACCAAATATATAATGCCAGGCATTAACTACAAATTTGAATCAGTTGGGACTTGTGGTATCAGTAGACTAAGCCTGGGAAAACTTGAGTATGTTTTCAGATGGGCAATTACAGTATTATTAGTGAAATATCATAATACTGTTTTTTCAAATTGGTCATACTGATAGAATTAGAGCAGTAATGTATAATGAGCAATAGCTATTCATATTTGTCCTTATGTTCATGGCTTAAAGTGAAAGAACATCATAGTCCCTCATGTATTAGGAGAATATTCTTCTGTCTCTGACCCCAGGAATGTTGAATAATGTTTTTTTTCAGTAAACTTAAAGTTAGGGCTTTCCCACTGTTTTTGTTTTTACCCAAAATACATTATTTAAAAAAAAATATATATTAAACATTTTAATCTCAAGGCACTAGGTAGCTTGAGCAGTCTTTTTGCGTTAAATTACAGTTCTTTAAAGAAACAAAGCAAAACGTCCTTCCTGAAAGGATTTTTAAACAGTGGTGCCCCTGTAGTTACAAGAAATGTGTTACAGTTTTAATTAGGGAAGCTATGACATGTAACATTGTTCCTGCATTTAATAGAATGTGATGAGCTTTTTCTATAAAATCTTGTGATTTTTAGTACAGTAATATTTTATAAATATAATGTCTAATTTGAAATGTAAATTGTGTAGCTCTAATGGGTGCTTGGTAAATGCACAAGAGATTTAGCTTTGATTCTCAGGTACCTCTGACGTAATGGAGACATGCTGGGTTTTTCTTCCTCGTGACACAACTGGAATGTGAAGGAGCGCTCTCATAAATGCTTTACTTCTGTGTGCTAACGTAAATTGTCATTGCTCATACTGTTTTAATTGGGGAATGTCTTTATTCTGATTTATCTCTTGTAGGAAGCACATACACTTTAAAAAAATAATGAATTTTGATCTCAAGCATTTCTTTGAATGTCATTAGATGCTTAAGGAACAGTGATTTCCCATGCCTACAAAATGGAAAATGAATACTACATGTGTTGCTCTGTCAAACAGTTGAACTAATTACTGTAATCCTATGAGACAACCAACAATTTATTCTGTGTCTGATTCAGGTTTTTGAGCTGTTTGGGTTTTATATGTGGAGGAAATTATGATAATCTGCCAAATGCCATGTAGCATGCCTTCATTTTTAGGGTTTTGGTGAATCTTGCATAGTTTAATGTAATGTATGCTGCACTCCAGAACAAAGGGGGAAAAAAGATTTCAGTTTTTTCTGTCTACTCTGTTAGGTTTCAGTCATGCCGAAAACATGTTCACTGCCATGGTCTGCTGCAGATGTAAAACTTAATTCATAAAAGGACTGAAATACATGCAACATCAGTACTCAGCTATTACTTAGAAGGTGTGGGGCACGTGAATACCGCTGAGGCCCAATGTTTCTCTTGCCCCGTGTGCACTGCATCTTGCTTGTTGGCTTTTTGCCTGTGGAAATCTGTGTAAGGGGATGGGGGCTGATCTGGCTTGTCATGGAGTTGGGCTGGAGTGGACTGCAGGCTGAAACTCGGAAGCAGGGAGGCTGAGGCACTGCCTGATTATCTCACTGTGGTGTTGCAAATGCATTTTGTGGAAATAAGGTGTTAAGCAGCGGTATTCTTCAAAGGACAAACCATGGTGCTGAGTGATACTTGACTCAGTATGCTGGTATATGCATTGCATACCTCTTTGTAATGTACTAGCAAAAATAGGAGAGCCTGCAAATTACTTTTCTTGGTGTGTGTTGTTGTAATTGTCATTCTCTTTCATGATCCCCATTGTGTCTAGGTACTGCTATTCACAGCTATGATTGCTTTAAATAAGGTGGTAAAACGATTTCTTTGTAATTCTTGGTTCCATCTCTTTGTGTTGAATGTTATCATTCCTGTTCCCTACTAAAAGATCCTCCCGTTTTAGGGAAATAAAGTTACAGAGCTAAATTAAGCTATAGGAGAGGGGGAAAAAACAGTTAAATTTTAGACATAGGGTGACTTCATGGACAGACTTCCAAATTTTATGTGAAAAAGGCAGAGTGTTTGCATGTTTGTAAATGAAGTTAAAAAGTGTCATACTCAAAAATCAAGAAACAGAAAGTTTATGTTAATATCCCAATGTTGAGTTATATGGCAAACTATAGGATGGTACTTCTAATCGGTTTTCTTTATTTGGGTGAAGTTTTGAGTTAGTTACTGTTTCTGTTATGACTGTTTTATGTAGTGTCTGCAACTTAATAGTTACAACTGCAATAGCATTTAAGTGTTGGTTCATAAACAGTTGTTATGCATGATTATATTTTTTTCCTATCTAATCCAGGATCGCATTAATGCTGTATTTTGTTTTACTTTGGATATTGCAGGGCATGATTTCTCAGGGAAATATGGATGATACCATGTGTTGTGAGAGCTGATAACTAATTCTTGCTTTTAAAATTGTTACAAATATTTTCAGGTTTCACTCAAACATTTCATAGCACGTAACTTTCATGTTGAACTTCCTCAGGCTTATCAGGTAAATCATGATGAGAATGTTAAGAGCGTTTAAAGGTGTCAATAAAATACACTCTGCCCAACACTTAGTTACCTTTTGGACAAACATCCATTCTAAACTGATGCAATTTGTGTGTGGTTTTTCTACTTTATTGTACTATGCGCCATATAAATTAATAGTTGCACTGCTGATTCTGAAGCTGCACTTACAGCATGACAGTGACATTAAATTTCAGGGTTAGGCAATGCTATAGTAATACATAATCTGATTCTGGGGTAGAGTACCAGTATAAATCTTCTAGCATATATATATATTCATTTATATCATTAAATTTTTACAAAGTCTGTTCACTGGGGATTTTTGTTTCTTTCCAGTAAAGTTACTGTGGCTAGACTGGGATTTGATGCAAAGCCCATGAGAGTCGTAGACAGCATTAATAAAGTAAAACTTTATTGAAAAGAAACTCTGCAGCCAGGTTGACCTTTATGCCTTTGCAGTATTTCTGTCTGCAGCATACATTTGGAGTGGTTTGCTTTAAGACTCAGTAATATAAATTTGGGGGATTTTAGTGCTGGTAAAAGTGGTAAACGTACTACTGGAACTAGTCACAAAAAGTATTTTCCTGTAGCCAGCATGTAGCTTAGTTATTTTAAAGGCAAATTTGTCTTGCTATATGACTTCTTTAAAATCAGCCGCATAAGAAATGTTAACAACTTCACTTACGTGTATAATTCTAGGAGAATTTTTTGTTGGTAATGAGAATATGTGATCATAGTCATCATAGCCTTGAGGATCAATTTCCTCTTGATGATTTCCGATTTGACATTTCCATTTACGTTCACTTTGCAAAGAATGCAACGGGGCACTTCCTCTAGGTAAAACTACTCTAATTGTATTTTGACTGCCCTAGTTCTCTATATTGTTAGAAAGCTAACCTTAACCATAAATCTAACATATAAATATGACTCTGCTTAGTTATCTGTGTTCTTACTCTCCTCTGAGGTAAAGTATTGCATCGTTACATCTGGCATTAGCAGGTAACCAGACTTTTTTCTAGAATGTGTACTGTGATGTGGAACGCATCCAGAATTTCATCTAGTTTTCACTTCCAACTTTTTAAAAGCACAAAAGGCTTTTCTCTGAGGATTTCTGTAGAAATCAGCTGTTTAGTTCTACAAGTGCAGAGTTCTTCAGCTGCATCGTAGTTTATAAAGTTGCATCCAATATTATTTTTATTTTTTAATGAACTTTTGACAGTTTTGTCAGGGAAGGTGCACAAATTTTGTATGTGTTCTGCAGAAGAAATATGACTGGATACGGGAATGGCCTCAGAAGTAATTATTAAGGGATGTTTCTGTAGTTCTTCACATATGTTCCTGAAGGGTGTTTTGTGATTTTTATTTTTTTTTTTTTTTTTTTTTTTTTTTTAAGAAACCTAACCAAACAAAACCAGCCAACCACACTTACCAAACTGAGGGGAATTAGCCATTTAGCATAGAACTAATTTTATCATATGCAAACTACTGTTTTTCTTAGAAATATCCTTCAATATATTAGTGATGTTGCCATCCCACATCTTTTTTTCCTTGTCTGTGTTATAGGTGATGCTTCTCTTCTACCTATATCTGACCTTTTGCATGCCAATTGAAATAGTTCCTCTATCAGGATGAGTAATTTCCTAAATGTTTTTAGAATCTTCTTTTTCCTCTAGGGAGGGGAACAGCAGGGGCTTTCCAGCCAAAAGTATCCCTTTCCTGTTGGAGAAGAAAAAAACCCTAAAACTTTAAGAAAATAAAAATCGTAATTGAAAATAATGAGGGCAGCATATGGGATCAGCTGTAAAATCATCAGGGTAATTTCTTACATAGCCCAATTACATATAGGAAGTGCTTATGCAATAGTGTATTAGATTGATCTCTCTCTGGTTGATCTTGATTTAATACAGAATGTAGGTATTTTAAATAATCATTTCATATTGAAGTTGCATGCTTAAATTAAGCCCTGTGGTTGTGTAAAAAAAAATATATATCTGAAGAGTGTACATACTAAGGAGTTTCTTCTCTGTATTTTGAGGGTTTTCTTGGTGGTGGTAAGTCCCACATACAATCCAGTTACAAATGAATGCTCTATTGAAAATCATGAGAGGCTGTTTACACAAAGCTATATTGAAAGCTTAGCCAGTTGTTCAAATTGATGTTATCTGACTGGAATTAGAGACGAGTAATGAGTATGTGTACAGCTTCAGCATTGTACAGCTGAAGGCGTCCTTGTGATGATTTGAAATTTATGTAAGTTCACTTTTGGAGTGGGTATTAGTAAAACAAAATTGTTTATGAAACTTCTTCTTAATTGTTTATACAGATTGATTTGTGAAACTTCTAAAGCTTGTGTGTGTTAAAAGATGCACGAAACCAATAGGGGTTTTGATGGTCTTTCTGGCATTACATTTTGTACTAAGTTTCAGTGAATTCTGAGTAAGACTTTTAAAGCAGAAGCTGCTTTCACTGAAGAAAACTTCTGTTTGCATGAGGTCTGTACAGTTTGCTGATAATTCAGATGTTCTGAGAGCACAGCTAGTTCCAGCTATATATCCTCTATGAAACATCTTTCTGTATTATCTTTTAACCATTTTCCTTAGTGAGACCAGAACGTGAATTGCTGATGTATATTGCATTTGCACTTAAATATCTGATTTCAGAGTGTGTTAAACCTTGATCTATTTTTGATAAAAAAGAAATGTAGCATTTTTATCTAATTTCCATTTAATGATAAGTATATTCATGCAGAGAAAAACATGTAATTATGGCTTGATTCAGTGATTTTAAGCCAAGAAAACAGCAGGATGGCAGTAGTAAATGTGAAATGAAGATGCACGTCTCTTCAGAAACTCTGGCTTCTGGTTTCTTCCTTCTGTCTTTATACCAAATTGGTGTCTCCATTATTCCAGAATTCTACAGGTGAAGCAAGGACCAGAACTTTTACCCTTTGTTTTTTTAAAAGTGAACGTTGGCTTTTGCCTGGAGTGTCTTTGTCCTGTCACTTCATTTTCTGAGGGGGGATGGGGGTGTCAGTTAAATTAAAAATATAGGATAAGTATTTTTAATTAAAATCAGATTTAAAATATTATTTTGAAATTCTCTGTATTGATAGAGATCTAATGAATGGAAATTAAAGGCCTATATTGCAAATATTGAACAATACTTATATATTTTTAACAAAATCAGTATATATATGAAATCTGAAACATGCATAAAGGTGAAAATCGGAGGATTGTTCTTGTGTCAATAGGTTTATAAATTGAAATTCTTAAGATCCAATACCAAAACCCTATAAAAGGGCTAATGAAAATGTAATGTATTCTGATGAACAGCCTGTGTAATACAATCAATGGGTGTGATGTTTTTGTTCTGTATTATATTTATTATATGTAAGAAAATAATAAAGATTATAAATCTTATTTTCTTAACAGGAATTAGTATTTGGTTGGGGTTAATGCTTAAGATATTTTATACCATCAGTTAAGAAAAAAATGAGTGTTCACTAAGGGTGAGCTGCCCCGTGAGACTAGTGTAGTAAAAAGGTCTTGAATTGACCCATTTCATTCCCCTCTTCTGCCCTTAAAAGTGAGGCTCAAGATGTCTCGTTTTACCTGAAGTCAGCTCAGATGCCAAAAGGTTATAATTTGTTCTCAGATTGGTCTGGTAATTTAAGTAGTCAAATACCAATTTTTAATCCATTTTCATGGCTGCAGGTGATTATTAATTGTTAATACATGAATTAGAAAAAAATACAAGAAGACTCTTTAATCAGCAGGGGGAGCTACTGTCGTATCCATCTATCTATTGCATTGCTGAACTCCAGTAGAAGAAATTATATAAGTGTTAAAAAGACAATTAACTTACCTGTTTATCATCCTTGATTCTTGGAGTTAACCAGGACTAGGTGCTGACCTTCCTTCATGCAGATGAACTTCCAGTGTCTTTAATAATTAAAGATCTCTTGGGGATGGTAGGCATTTATCTAAATATTTAATAGAAAAATTAGAAAAAGTATTTTCCTACCATAGACTTTTTTGAGTTTTCTGGAAAAAGATTCTGTTTGCTGATATAATCAATGTTGCTGCACAGCTGTAAAAAGAAGCAGATTTTTACACCAAAACATGGAGATACTTGCTGTGCTGTGTCTAAAATACACAAAAATGTAATACGATGTCACTGACAATGCAGGTACCAAATAGATGAATCTTAGATCAGAATTTCTTAGAAAAATTATCAACATAGGTGTAAAGATATCATGCCAAATACAAATCACAATGTGGACAAGCAAGAATGCATGAACCAAATAGCAGTTTAGCTAAGGACTCAGGATGGTGTAGTGCAGGGAAGATTCCTGTCTGAGCCCCATTTTCACCTTCACAGGTCCACTGGGAAGAGCCACGGGTTTACCGGCCACTAGTCTTTAATTTCCATTAGTCCTAATGTCTAAAATGAAAACTTGTAACAAGAAGGATGATGTAATCAAAACATTTCATGGAAGCTGCTCTTACAGTGATTGCACTGTCTTGTGAATGTTTCAGGACCAGGAAGAACTATTAAAATCAAAGAATAACAGGCCTGTGACTTTTTTTTTTTTTTTTTTTTTTTTTTTTTTTTAAACAGTAGACCAATAAATTGTGGTAAGAAACCTGCTTGCTTAACTGCTTTAAATATATTTCTACTCTAAAATGGGTATATAAAAATCAACTGAAGTTGTCACATGCAACAATTTATTCTTGACACCAAATGGACAAGTATTGTCTGTGCCCCTTTATTTTGCAATATGGAAAGGTCTGTCTTCTGCCTTACTTTGCAAAGAACTATGAGAGACATTTAACATAGCAAAATTTCTTAGTCAAGGCTATAGGGCACTTCAGTACTTATAGTTTGGGGGCAGATTTAACTAGTTAACTTGGAGTTCATCTCATTGTGTTCCCTGACAAGCAACAGGAATTCTGGAACTCAAGAATTTGAATCCAGTTGTCTTAAAAAATTTCTATATACATGCAAAGGCAACTTGGCAAGTACAAACCTGTTCTTTTTTCTAGTGTTCTAAATGATGGCTAGAATCCCACTTGTTGTGTGATTCCCTCCATTTTAAGTTGTAGAGATATGTAAAATGTGGAAAAATTTTCTGGTTTTGGCAGGTTCTCATAAAATACAAACTTAGCCTAAGAAAGTGATACATTTTAGGTTATGTCAGTACTTCATGTGTTGTGCTAAGTGGACAGTTGGCTACATAAGTGCCCAGGGCAAGTGTTACCAGACCATATGAAGTAGGATTTTCTGTGGAAGTTTTGATAAACTAACTTATGGAGGCCCATGAGGAATGCTGGGAGTAGGCAGTGGTTTGCTATCCCTGAGAGCAGGAGAGCTTCTGGGTAAATGACAGAGGTAAGTTGTTTTGTGATTTGATTTTTTTTGTTGTTGTTGTTTATGGGTTTTTTTAATTTGGTTTTGTTTTCCCTATCTAAAATGTGAATTCATGTATCTTTATTCTGTTAGGCTAGTAAGATCTAAACTATTTTCTGTGCTATCTTGACACCTAGTACTTTTGTATACGGTCCAATAAGCTAGTGCAGGCCAGCTAGATTGCTTTCAGTTTCTAGGATGTAATTTGTTGACATCTTACTCTACTCTGTATACTCCTCAGTTTTAGGAGACATGTTTCATACATGAAACTGCCTCTTGCAAGAAGCTCAGTGTCACAAGACAAGGTTTAATACTTCTGAGAAAGATTATTTAAACCCTGTTTTCAAACTTTTTCTTCTAACAATAGTGTGTAAACATAGGAGACATTCCTGAGTTTTGTGTAGTTGGGAACTGTCAGTGCTAGGTTAACGGTTGGACTAGATGATCTTCAAGGTCCTTTCCAACCTAGTTGATTCTATGATTCTGGTTTTTATTTATATCTGCAACCCAAATATATCCCATTTATATTGATTTTTAAAAGCTTGACAAAGCTTAAGTTTTCCAGAGAAATTGTGATTTATTACCTCAATGTGAACTCTTCTTTCTTTCTTCCCCTCATTTTTCCCACCTCTGCTCCCAACCCCTACTGCAGGCTTATGTGAAAGAAAACCCAGTTCTAGTTTGTGGGTTTGCAAGCTTTCAGGACTTTTTTTTGCTAGCATTACCTACTGTGTTACAATTTGCTGTGACATGAAGATGTTCGTACCATAAAGATTCCTTAATTATCTAAATAGCCCCTTCTTTGTGGGAACCTTCCAGTGTTGTGTCATTTACTAGGCTTCTTTGATTTAACTACTAGGATCATGCTGCTAATGATGATGGAAAACTCATGATTACACTGCAAGGGTGTGTTTACACAATGCAAAGGAAGCTTCATAAACATAAAGGAGCACTCTGTCTACCTGTAACCATTTAGAAAGAAGTTCATCTGCCACTGGAATCTTTTTTTAATCCTGTTGGAGTGGAAAAAAAGCCCTAAAATTAAAGAAGTTCAGGTTATAAGCAGATGGCTTTTGAGGCTGTGGTGTTGCAGGCAAGCAATGCTCTAAGAGAGGTTTTTAACCACGGGATGTGTGGTGATCTGAAAGGAATGGGAGCTGATGCAAGGACCACTGATGAATGGGGTTTGGTCTTGTGCATACATTTCCCCAAGTCCTCCTTGCCTTTTTATGTATTTCCTTACTGACAAAGGAATGTACAGAAGACTCTCTTCACCAATTGAGAGGACATCATTAGTTCATAGTACAAATATTTAAAAATATTATGGAAGTGTATTTAGTAGTAACTTAGTGTATTTAGTAGGAATTTAACAAATGTCTTTTGTTAAAAACATTTTGACAATAGTGCTGACACTGACTTCTACCTCCCCTTGTCACTGTCAGGTAAAAACTGATGTATATGAAACTCTTGGATGTGACTTTTTCCCCATAATTTGCATATGATCAGCCACCAGTGAATGGAAATGTCTAGTAATAAGTAGCTGGTGGTGTTTAATTGAAGTGGCTCGTTGTAAGC